TCCAATGGATGATGATCTGATTAGTCGACTATCAGAATAATCGTTTGTGGCAGCCCTACAACCCACCAAACACACGATACAGTTGGAAAAAACGGGTAGTTCCAGTTTTTCAGGTTTCCAGATGCCACGGTCTCTGCAGTGAGGCTGACTGTTGCATATCTACCCTGGATGACACAAACACAGCTGAATCCTTATTCATGGGAGTTTCAATAGAAATCAAAAGCCACCATCTTCTTCTGATGCCACCCACAACCTCAGATGAAACCACTGCCTGCTGTTTGAGCATGCTCTATGGTTCATCTTTGCTTTTAGATAAAGACGGGGAGAATAGATGACGGAGACCTGAGTGTGCCCAGGGTCAGAGGGGATGGGCTCCGGTGTAGTGCAGGGCGATATGGCCAAAAATATTTATCACGATATATATTTGAAAATTTGCGGTAACGATATAACTGACGATATAATTGATGCGAGACAAAATACAACTTTACTAGCACAAAAACCCCATCCATTTATTTTCACTTAAACAAGCAGCTGTTTTTTATGTGCATTAAAGCTATATAAACATTTAACAGTGCAAATGCAAATTCCTTGCTGAAAGTTTAACCAAAAGGCATCTCCAGAAGAAATGTGCTGACATATCCTGAGTATAACCATGTATAATATCCACTGAAGTTAAAAAGAGGTGCTTTGCTACATTAAACTGCAGTGTGCCAAATAAAAAAGTCAAACACTATTTCTCAGACCATAAGGTGCTCAGGATTATAAGACACATTAAGCAAAACAAAGCAGTCAGATAAATCAAACTATTCAACTCATTCTTCTTGCTTCCTCCACTTCTGTACCATTGATTCATTAATGCTGTATTCTATCACAGCTGCTCTGTTCCCATGTTGTTGCAGTATATTACTGACTAACCTCGTATTGTGGATGGATTATCTCAGTTGTTCTCCTGACTGAAGTTTGGTCCGTTTGCAGCATCCTGCCATGCGACTGTATCTAACCATCAGGAACCCTCACGTTAACTTTTATCGAGGGGAAAGAAATTAGCATTCATCCTCCAGCTTCACTGTTTATGCTAACATAGCTGTGTTGCTAGCCACACGTAGCACATCATTATATACCAGCTAGCCCAACTTCAGTAACCCTACAAACGTCACTGCTGTTTAGTTTTCTGTCTTCATTTATGTTGGAAGTGACAGCAGAGCTGTACGTTTGAATTTTTTCTGAAATCTCTCAGTCAGAACATGCTATATCATGTTTAGGTGGAAACTAGCACGCTAACTTCCTGCTAACTTCCTGCTAACTTCCTGCTAACTTCCTGCTAACTTCCTGCTAACTTCCTGCTAACTTCCTGCTAGCCTCCTGCTAGCCTCCTGCTAGCTTCCTGCTAACTTCTAACTCTGCTAAATGTAATAAATTCTGTTTTCATGGATGCCTGGATGTTAAACTTGATTGTTACACCTGGTAAAGCAGCAACGCTGATCATTTTATTACAGATGAAAGAGTTTAGACAGTTTTTAACTCTCAGTGATGTTCGTTTGACTTTGGGACCTGAAGCGGAGTTTGGACTCAGATTACTCCCAGATTTACGAGCACCTTAGTGCGACAAATACAGCAATAACGACGGCCCGCTTGCATGTTCTACAAAAAAAATGTGCTTTGTTATGTATCTGATGGACAAACACCAAACCAGTTCCACATCACTGAAGTTGTACCATTTTTACAAACCAATTCTGGTCCATCCGTTTCACTCAACGACCCGCTTTTCCCCTTCTCATTCTCCGTCGCCGCCATGCTTTTTCCGCCATGTGCGTATGAAAACAAAGGCACTGCGCATGTGCGTTTTACCCATATTCTATCGTGATATTTTATTTTCTTATTGTTGCCCAAAATTATACCGGTATTACCGTGAACGGTGTAATATGGCCCAGCCCTACTCCAGTGCTTAGTAATATGGATCCATGGCTTGAGACAGTAATGAGAGAGGAAACCTACAAAGATGCCGTCTGAGTGCTGCGTACCTGCAGGATACAACAGGGCTTGGTAGACGCCAACAAAGCTGTGATGGTTTGGGTTTAGCATCACTGGCTGAACTGGGTCATACAGGTACTGTTTTATTTTTTGGCTCTGACTCCCAGGCAGTCCCATTACATGGACAGTTTCTACTGTTCAGCTGCTCAAGCTGCTGTTTAAGCATAAAACAAAAACATTTTTTGTTCAATAAAAATTTGCAGTTGATCGTTCTCTGACATGTTCAGCTGAGACATAAGGGCTGGAACCATTCGTCACCATAATCCACGAGCTTGGCTATAAAAACCTTGTAGGATTGTGTTGTGGATGCATCAGAGTCTAAAAGCAGCTAAATGTATTTTTCTAAAAGAAAAAGGATGGGTGGTATCCCATTAAGTAAATGACATTAATGCGACTACCTCCCATGCAGAGGAGGGTCTCATGTGTCGCGTCTGACATGGATCTCCTCTCTTTCTCTTTCAGGGGGAGTCGGTCAAGTATTTCCTGGACAATTTGGAAAAGCTCGGACAGTCGGTAAGTCCCAAACACACACTAACAGAATAAAAGTGTAGTAACACAACTTTAACTGAAAAAGCACTGTCACTGGTACAACAAGTGTGATATTTTACACATTTAGGGACAAAGTCTCAGACATGTCGACGATTTTAGCCAAAAACTGAAAACTGCTAAGAGCTTAACTCAGCAGTTACAAACTATCCAGCTGTGACTTTCTGAGAGACGAATGAGTTTGTTTTTCAGCTGTTTCACTGGACCGTGCCATGATGAGTTACTCTTTAAGATGTTTTAGCTCAGTTCACGAGGCCTGGCACTGAAACTGAACTGGGCTTTCCAGAAACTA